ACTTGAATATGTATTTTTTTGAATGTTTACTAAAAATTTTTTTAGCATACTTGGTATAGGTTATTGATGTATTAACTTGAGATTTGAGGAAGAATTGATTAGCTAAGCTCTTGAGAGTCTAATGGTTGATACTTACAAACCTTAGTGTTGTTGAATTATTTAATCTTGATATGCATGAAAGATGTTCGATGACTTGAGAGAGTAAATGTGGGGGTGTGTGTGTATTTAGATATGTTTATACGCAACCTGATTAATGTTTGGTTACATAATTTAAAGAATAGTTGGGAAAACAAATTAAGATATAAGCAATTTGTTGGATGGGAAGTAGGCATGTAAAGTATTAGAAGGATGGAAGAAATTAAGATTTGGTTGATTAAATTATAATGATATGAAGTCAATTCACTATAGTGTTTTCAATATTAGAAAATAACTTATTTAACTAAAGTAAGTCCATTAAATCTTTCTTTATATTGAATAGGATGCTAAGAGAAAGGAGGAGTTGATTGAAGTTCTAAGAAATGAATTTTGATGCTCGGGCATATTATAGGTAAGTGGATAGCGTCCCAACTGATATTTCATTAAAATTTCTTTTATTCAAATATTATATTTTTATGCAAATTCTTCTTACGACAACAATGCGATTATTGGATATTTGTTGATTAACATTGCTTTATTTTAAGAAATTAGATTTATCAAATTTGAAATGTTATTTGATCAATTAAATTAAGTTTGGACTTTGATTATGAGATTTTTATTTTATCAAACATTGGATTGATATGGAGAATGATTTTTGCGAGTTCAACTTTGAAAATTTTTGATTATTCGATAAATGCAAGCATGAGTATTGGATATGAAGTTTTATTCTGGCAAGGTTTAATGCTTAAAAGTATTCATGCGAGTTTGATTTTGAGAACGAGAACTATATCTTGAAAGTGATGATTTTCTCGCATGTTTGAAAATGGTTTTAAAAAAGGGACTTTATATGGAACACTGGTTGCTAACGGCAGTTCCGTTAGCCCTTGGCGCGCCATGGTACACCTAGCTAGCAGGGTGTTTATAGGAGGTGCTAGCCCCGTGCGATGGCCAACGCACGTGGAACGGAGGGATGGTTATTCGTGAGCATAGTACTCACGTTTGTTTCGTGGCTTCAAGCCGCGTTTGGTTAGAATACCCTCGTGGATTGTGTGTCCACGTTTGTTTCGTGGCTTCGGCTGCGTTTGGTAATTTACCCTCGTGGATTATGTGTCCACATTTGTCTTCGTGGCACAAGCCGCGTTTAGATTATTTACCTTCGTGGACTTTGTGTCCACGTTTGATAATTGTTCTGATAAGTCCCTATGGTTATGAATCTGATTATTGGTGATTTGATATCCCATTGGTTTTTATTGAGTAATTTATTTACAAGTATTTATTTCCGTTATGAGACTTCTTAAAATCAAGTGAAATTAACATTTGATATGATAGTTCAATAATTTGAGATTTTATTTGAAATTTACAGAGCCATTTTATTGTGAAGTTTATTAAATTTTTATAAAGATTTTGTCTGTTTAACTTACACAACTATTTCAAACTTTTCATTTTATTCATGTGAAATTATTTATTGTTGGGACGTTATTCACTGGAAAATTATTTGGTCTCAGATAGCATAATTGACGCTGTACGTCTTACTTACCAATGACGGATGTTTTCGGAGCGGAGGCTTGCTTTGTAAACATGTCTTATTGATGTAAATATGAAATTTATGTATTATGTCATGAGATATATGATTAGGTGCTCCACATAACTTATAATTAAAATCCTTAGTTTATTATACATTTTGTCTGCTGGCTTGAAGGAGCCGAGTTCTTGATAGATATAATGTTTGAGGAAAATTTTTATGATACAGAATTTTTGGTAGATCTTATTTACAGAGATGGTTCTGTTAAAATTTTTACGAGATGTTGAAATAATTAGTAGTAATAGTATTAAAATGTTAGTGAATAATTGAGTACTTTTTTTGTAATTAAATGAAATAAACCTTGAATTTGTGGCTTACGGGATGTATGTGTGGTTCGCATCCTGTGCCGGTCACCTCCTATTTTGGGGTGTGACAGATAGTATGAGAGGTAAACAAAACTCCCAAAATCTGCCGCTTCCCAATGTATATTGATAACTCCCATTGTTCTCATAATTGCATAGAAGTATCGACAAAAGAGATAACGTGATTCATACCATCCCCATGTGCCCACAATAACTCTTCTCCCTTCAATTCCATTGATTTCAAAGTCACCTGCAAGGTTAGTGAAAGGTGGAGTCACAATCACAGGGCCACAGGTTATGCGCACCATCGACACACTATAATTTATCCAATTTTGTAGCATTTCATAGAATTTGTTGAAGTTGAAACTTTCAAAATTGTCCATCACCATTTTTGCTGAGCAGATTGTCAAGCAATAGTGGTAAGGCAAGTTATTAGTTACGAGCAACATTGCCTATTAATATATAGTAAAGGTACATGTGTTGTTATATTTAATTTTTGGTTAAGATATGATGATATGTTGAATCATGATCCTAAATTGTCATTCACCAAGTTCTGATGCTATTTGAAAAATGTTCTCTATAGATAAATTTCTGCACTAATATCGACAAGGGTTATGACAAGGGATATTGAATGCAAAAGTAAAAAAGAATAAGCTCTTCGTTCCGACATGTTTACATGGCTTAGTCAGTATCAGTTAACCTTTTTCAGAAAGTGAGAGTATCTATTTAGATGAGGTTCAAGAGAGGTAATATTGTAAGTAAGTAAGAAGGGCTAATAGAGTAGTGTGCATATGTCAAATGTCATAGAGTTTGGTTGTGTTCTATAAATGGAAAATTTTGAGTTTACCTTTTTATCTGTAAGGAACTTTGACTATCCAACATATATAGCAAATTAACCATGCTAGAGTCATCATTATAAAGACTGGTCATTAGTTGTTGATTCATACACTTTCTTTCGTTCTGCATATTTTATTTTTCTGTCTTTAATGCAGTTGACCTCTACTGGGTATATTTACCTTCTCGAAGCATATTATATATTATATGCTCTGTACTGTATATGCTTATCAAAAGAGAAAGTTCACACAGGCTACGTTTACCTTACAAAATATGCTTATTAATCATGACAGATAGGCTCCTTCGAATGAAAGAAAGTTTTGTTCCATTTAAACAATTCAACGGTCACTGGAATTGCCAATGTTATTGATTTATAAATACTTAACATGGAATTAATTTAAAACTAACTTGAACTTTGTCAATGTGAATAAGAAGTAAATCGACATTAAACACTTCAAGCCCCTCGTCTTGCATAATATATATATATATATATATCAATAAATAAAATTTAAAGGACATTTTGCAATGATTATGAATAGGAAGACTATTTTAATAACATAGACCTTAAGGGCATCATTGTAGAAGTATTGACATTATGTAATTGTAAATGTTTTTATTTACCATGTTCACCATTGCTTTAGTTAGTACATCAAGCTATTTTCACATCCTAATTGTGTTTGCTATCCTTTACCTAAAAAGTCTATTATATATGGTTTTCTATTCCTTAGCAATTTATTAATGCAGAGTTTCATATTTATAGACTTAATGTGCTGCTATATAGTTTTTTATGATTACCTATATAATCTTTCTTCTTTCTGAACAAGCCTTATTATGCTGTCGATAATTACATAGCATTGTAAAGAATTTAATGTGCATTCATGCTTGGTTCAAGTTATCAGCCATTAATCAAGGGTCTTTATAAATAATAATAGCAGCATACGATAGATGAGGGATTGACCTGATATCGAGGAATGCATGTATTGCAAAGTGAGAGGGAGATGGTTGATAGCTTAAGTGGTGACGTGCTGGTATATAGTTTGTCCTACTACATAGAACTATAATACATGAATGTTGCTATGCAGTTTATCATGCTTTGAATCATCATTACATCGAACAATTGACTTATCACTGATATCTGTATTGTACTTTTCCTCACAAGTCCATACAAAAGTTTTGAATTGATCTGTTTGTGCAGGGATCTTTTCATTAATGCAATTTTTTTGGGGACTCATTTACAGCTACAAAGGTAACGTGTTGGACGATAAATCTTCTGTGATTCCAATAAAGGATTCTCTTTCATTTGATCTTCCATTCTGACCATGCTGACAACACCTCAACTTTATAAGCATGGAGAGAATTTGCAGCAAAATATTTTCCAACATATTTAATCTGATCAAATCCTTATTATATATAAATTTAATTACAAGAATAATATGTTATTTAGAAATAAAGTTATGTTATCAATAAAATTATTAACACTGGAAGTTTCCTAATAATTGAAGTTATTATTATGCAAACGAAAATATCAAATTACCTGATTCAGTAGCAATAAAATCAAAATCATTGTTCTATTTATCACGATCATGTAATTGATATATTATTGTCCTGACATGCAGTCTATGATAGACTATTTAGCTTTCTATTTATATATAACATGTTTACTGATGGGAAGACTGCCAACTTCTGTAATTACATGCTGATCCATCTACAATCATTTCATTATAGTTCTTTGCACAGTGTTTGGCAAACTGGATGGTTCATGCTTATCTTTACATGATCATCCCTTTGTTGTTAACTTATCAATGAATTGACTAAACAATGTAACTTTTAATATGCCTTACCTGATGAGTCTATGCAAAGGTGTTTTGTGATGCACTTTGTGCTGCTTTCATTTCATTCACTTTACACGATTTATCAATCATTAAATGAAACGTTAACATCTTGGTTTTGATTCAGTAGATTTTGCAGTCAAATATTCACTTTAATATGATCACGCTTGATTACCATGCAGACAGCACATTGAATTTTAAGACAATAAAAGGATTTGCAGCATAGAGCTTCCCAACCAATTTCCAGAGAATTTTGTAGGGGTTGATAGCAACATATGCCTAGGTAAAGGAGTTGTGTCAAGATCGCAAGTATGTATAAGCATACCAATCTCCATGGGTAGGTACATTGTATATAGTATAATATTAAGACATAATGCGTTGCTCTTTTGATCAGTGTATATCATTCTAATGAACTACATGTTTTCATCTCTCTCTCTCTCTCTATATATATATATTTAAATAATAAAAAATATTTATTTATTTATTTATTTTGGGCATTATTATATATATATATATATATCCGTGAAATGCTTCTTGCATTTTTCAAGTTACGTTTATTTTTATGGTTTGTAAAACATATATATGTTATCATGGATAATATTTCATTTATTTATTATATATATATATATATATGAAATCCCCGTGAATGGTATGTTTCCTCCATTTTTCAAGTTACCTTTATTTATTTATTTATTTATGAATTCCTAAAAGAAATATAAATTTTTTAAACGTATTTCCATAATCTAACCCATTTTACATTATTTTTAGCACAGTATGAGCACCACATGCAAAATTTAAATTTAAACTTGTGTATAACATATACTTCAGTATATTTATTATGCATGATAATATATATATATATGTATGTATGTATGTATGTTTTTATCTCTATATGCATATAAACATATTTACCTATTTATTTATTTTCTTATTTATTTATGAATTTATGAATGCGTGTACTGTAATTATGTTGCACTTACATTTATTACAATACTAATACAGTACTGCTGCATTTATATTTATACACTTTAAATCTTCCAAATTTTTGAATACCTTTAAGTACATATTTATGAATATGAAATTATTTTTTGACGTTGACTCTTCAATTTCGAAAATAATGAAATGTGATCATTTTATGTTGCTATGAAAGTCATATCAAATGGCACATTAACAGTGTTGCTACTTGCATCCTTGCACTATAAATATTTAGTGACAACTACTTTCACGCACTATCCAACATCCAACTCTTCACAATCAAACAATCAATAGAAACCAACAATGTCTCGTCTCTCGCTAATCCATGAGCTTCATGATGGTACTGACAGGTAGAGCATTACAGTCCGAGTATTAAGGAAGTGGAATGTGTACCAAAAATCATCACCTGCTTCATTATTTTGTGTTACTATGGTTTTGGTTGATTGTCAGGTTTGATCATATTATACTATACATTTACAAAATGAGAGAACCATGTCAATTTATATATCTACTATTCTTTAGCTTTATATCTTAATTATATCAATTTGTACGAGTAATAGAACCTCTCTACATTTTTTGTAGGGTAACAAGATACAAGCATCTGTTCTGAACAAAAGCCTGCACGATCACTATCTTACAATTCCTGTGGAAGGCCAAACTTACTTTATGGCTAATTTTGTGCTTTCACCTAACACTAATCAATTTAGAGCCACGACTCATCCATTTAAAATTACCTTCACACAACAGACCTACATTAGGGAGGAGTCTGCATCAATCCCAGTATTTGGCTTTTCTTTTTTACTGATTGCTGAATTAATTAAGTACAAGGAAGATATGACTATTGATCATCTAATCTGTATTATTAAAATCAATTTTTGTTTTAGTGTTTAATAATTTACTGGACTTACTTCAAATCATTTTAATATTATTTTCAATTCTAAATCTGATTATGAAGTTATGTCATTATACTATTAGTCTATTCTATTTTCATGCAGATGTGATTGGTTATTTGAAATCAATTGGTTCCCTTGAAGAGTATTGCAAGGATAATGAAACTAAGCATAAGCTGAGGATGGTTCTAACTGATAATGAGTTGACACTACTCTTTCTTTTTTATTCACATATCACTTAATTTAGTTTATCTGTACATTTTTGCAAGTGATTTGGTCAAGTCTCATGTTTTTGTGTCTCTATAAACTGCAGGGACAATGACATTGAGTGTGTGCTATTTGATGAGTGTTCCACTAATAGCTTTGTAAACTATGTTGAGAATACAAAGACACCTATCATTGCAGTTGTTCTGCTAGCTAGGATAGGTTTTTCTGAAGAAGGTACCTTGCTGTTATTAAGAAAATGATATTTTCAAGTACAAGTTCAAGTAATTAATTTGATCACCTTGTAACATATTTCTTGCAGGGAGACTCCAAGTATATAGTTCTTTCAATGCTACAAAGGTCCAGTTTAAGCCTTGCATCAAGGAAGTCAAGGACATAATTGAAGGGTAGGCTGTCTTTATAAACTTGATAAGAGCACTTTGTAGCTCTATATTTTTTTATGTGTATCTAATCTTAGTATGAATTCTTCTGTTATATAGGGCAAAAGATTGTTTGTCACCAGTTGTGAGTTTCTTATCTCAGAATATGACACCAATGACTTCTCAATCATCTACCTCTAGCATGATGCACAACACTCCAATAATTGATATTTCTCAGATTCCTGACCAAGAGGCTGTGAGTTTGTAGTTTTGAATTGCATTATGGTTGATGACACAATCATTAATTTTAGTTAGGTTGTTTATTATCACAGGATACAAGTTTCTTGATTAAATGCACAATCATTAAGCTGGACACACATTATGGGTGGCTTTATAGTGGGTATGCAAAGTGTGCTACAAAGACTAAAGATCAGAATGGGACCTTATATTGCCCCACATGCAAGAAGCAGCCTGAATCTGTTGAATCAAAGTAATAATGGTCAAGATTAAATTTTTAATGATTCAAACAAATGCAACAGCATTCATATCTTCATTTATTGATAACCTATATACTTTTCATTATTATTAACTTATTGCACAGGTTAAAAATTCACTATGCCGTTGAAGATGATACTGGTAAAGCTACTGTAATATTTTAGGACAAACTCATTGTATAGATGATTAGACATGTTGCTATAGAGTTAAAGGTCATGCTTCACACGGTATTTTTCTTTCTTTATTGTTATAAGCTGTTGTTATACAAGATTTTCAAAATTAGTGTGACATTATCTAAACAAGTGACTTATGAACCTTTATACAGGAAGAACGTTCTTATGACTTCCCTGATCAGTTAGATGCATTGGTTGGAAAGAAATTGCTTCTCAGACTGAAACTTAACTCCTACAATAAGGATTTCCCTAATTCTAGCATAAGTGTCATACAATATATTGAATGTGCTGATTTGATGGCTGAATTTGCAGATGCAGTTACAGAGGTAGTTGATTTATATTGTCTTTGTCTTGATTACTATTTATCACTTTGGCAATCATTCTTTTAATTGTAGGTAGCTCATCCGTGCACTACATGCATAAGCAAACTTTAACAATATGTGCCATACTTTAATAATCATTAATATTGTGTACTATTTTTAAGCTATAAACTTGGGTTTATGTAGGACCACGTTGAATCTCAAGATGGTGTACCTAAAGCGGATTAACCAGTTATGAAATCTAAAGATGAAGAAATTCCTAAAACTAAAGTGGATTTAGCAGTTATGAAATCACAAGATGAAGAAATTGCTAAAGCAAAAAATTCTCAAGCTGTGGGACGAACAAGTTCTGATGACAGTACTAGCCTTAATCAAATGACAGTATCTGAAATTGTAGCACCAGCATATTTTATTGCCACTACAAGTGCAAAGGGAAAAAGGAAGAATGCTGTGATAACCTTGACTAAATTTAAAATAAATAAATAAATAAATATATAGGTTAACTTGCTTAAAGTGTGTTTATATTAGTTCTTGGGATAAATATAACAAATTAGAGACTTGGTTTAGTGGCAGCTGAGACTTCATATATCAGGTCCCTAGTTCGAATCTGGAAGAGACCAAAAGAAGAATTAATTTTTTTCTTTTTCTGGCCATGTGAAATTATGAAATTACCCTTAGTTCCATCAGTTTTTTTTTGAACTCTTTCTTCCTTCTTTCTCTATGAATTTAGAGCTGTGAACAGGCTGCGTTCGAGTCATCACGGAGATCTTCTCCCTGTGCTGCTTTCGACCGACATCCTCCCCTCTAAGCTTCGAAGCTCACCTCGTCTCTGACTCCATCTTTTGTGAATCACGGGCATCTAGACTCCATATAGTGAGGATCTAATTTCAAGCTCCATTTCCATCTTCCATTTATTTCTCCAAGTCTAGACTCTAGATTCGTGACTTCAAGGTTCAAGCTCGCGTACTGTGACTAGAGAGATATAAGGAGCATCGATATTTTTGATTTGCCTTTCAACTGAAGCTATCTTCTTCCTCCTCCACTGAAGCCAGCACCGTCGTTCGTGTGGTCGCGGTCGATGCTGTGCTTATCCGTTTGCCTCAGCTGTGATTTTTTTCCCGAGTTGCTGTTGTTCGTCTGCCTCTGTTGCTGATTCAAGTATGAAAAATCTCTCTTTCTCTTAGCTTCTCATTCACGTGGGTATAAATGGTCTGGGTGAGTAAAGATCTCTTCCTTTTAGGTTTGTTTTCTGATTATTAGTGAGCTTATTCTTCTTCATTCATGGTGGCAGCTCTTCTTCACTGTTTAAAATCATTTTCCTTCCTCTATCCATGCATGTGAGCAGCTGGAGTGGTATTAAGATAATTATAAATCGTTGGTTTGCTGCTGTTGTGCGTGAGGCTATCGTTTGCTTTGTGTGTGCGTGAAATTATAGAAGTTATGGTTGCTATGTTATTGTCGTGCTGTTATAGGGAAGGGACGACTCAATGTTGAGTTGGAAATTAATCTCAAAGCTCAATGATGACATATTCATAGCTGAAATTAGAATTATTTGATAGAACCTTATTGCTGCCGTATGTTGTAAGAAGATTCAAATTTAAGCTGAAAACTTGACTTAAGAATTGGTAGTGATATACATATGAGTCATAATTTTGGAGCTTGATTGATTTTTGGTAAATTGTTGAAGGTTTTAAAGTAATAAGGTAGAAGTAAGGCACCCAAGGTAAGTGGTGCAAATATTGGGAGAAAACTTCTATTCCAAGAAAATAGAATGGCATGACTAAAGTTTATGGAGAAAGTAAGAGGAACAAATGATAATGCTTGAATTAACTTTAAATCATAAATTTAGTTTTGAATTTTTGATGGTGGTTAGTAAAGGGTGTGTTATAAATTAAAAAGTTATTAACATTGTATATATTTATATTTTATAGGGTGTGTGGAAGAACAAGACCCTGATAAGACTTAAAAGCAGAATACTTTCAGGAATTTAGAACTTCAATAGGTAAGTGAATAGCATTCCTTATGAGTATTTATTGAAAATTTTTTATTGAAATATTTCATTTTATGAATTATGTTAGTTTTAGAAATTTTGAAATAATGATGAAGAATAGTTATATTATGATTTGTGCATTTTCTCAAGAAATATATTTCTAATATTGATGAATGCACCTTTGCCTTTTGAATTTCAAAATTTCTTAATTACATGATTAGTGCAAGTTTGTACATTCGTTATGGTGTATCGATTTGACAAGTTTCATATATTTGAAATAATTCATGTGAGTTTGATCTTGAGAATGAAAATTTGACTTCAAAAATAATTATTTCTCTCACATGTTTGAAACGGGATTTCTAAGAGAACTCTATACATAACGCTGTTGCTAATGGTAGTTCCATTAGTTTGTAGCGCACTATGGTTAAACAATAGCTAGTTTGTTTCGTGAGTTTTATTCTCACATTTAGTATTCGTAGGCTTTGTACTTGCGTTTGATTTCGTGGCCTAAGCCGCGTTTGGTTACTCACCCTTGTGGGCTGTGTGTCCATGTTTGTTTTGTAGCTTCGGCTGCGTTTGGTTACTTACCCTCGTAGACTGGTGTGTCCACGTTTGTTTTCATGGTATAAGCCGCGTTTGGTTATTTACCCTTATAGACTGAGTGTCCACTTTTGTAACCTGTTCTATTGAGTTGTCAAAATTGTAAATGTTGATTAATATGTGTTTTCGAAATTTACCTGATTTTGACTAGTCATTTGTATCACTTTGAGTTATATGAGAGCAAATTGTTTTCTTTAAGCATGATAACATAAATTAGTTTCAACTTATTCTTATTTTACAAGTATGATTATGACTTACATGCTTATAAATTTTGGTGGAATTACTTTCAATTATTTGACACCATTATTTGAAATTGTCAATTTAAATTTTAAGAATTTTACCATGAGAATGCTATTCACTGAAAAAAATTATTTGGCCTCAGATTGGTTAGCTGACGCCGATCCCACCAATGACCTCTAAAAGGGCAAGTAGCTACAGTGGGTGGACATTTTAATTGGTATTGTTGCTTTAATGTAAATATATAATTTGTATGTCTTTTTGAATTTGAAAAAAAGAGTAGATGCTCCACATAGGTTGTTGATATTGGTTGCTAGCTGGAAGGAACTGCGCTCCTGATTTATACTGTTATCTGTAAAAAAAATTTATTGTAGAATTTTCGGGAGATCCTAGTTACAGCGGAGGTTTTGCTAAAATTTCTACAAAAATGTCGACACTCTTTTATGATATTGAGTTTAAAGAAGTTATTTTAATTCTCATGAGATTTGATTAAATTTTTTTTTCTTTTTTTGTAAAATGGAATAAATATTCATTTGGAGGCTTACGGGAATGTGAGAGTAGTTTACACCTATGCCAGTCACCCTTTATTTTTAGGGTGTGACAAATGCTGTAAAGAGAATTGTAGGGCCAGAGGACAAATCCATCCCATCCTCATTCATGCTACCACTAAAACCAGTTAAAGTGATAAAGCAGGAGAAGAAATAAACCTAATAGACCTACAAGGATTTTATCTTTCCCATCTAGATGTCTGGCTAAGCATTTGATGTTGCTTTTTATGTGTTAGGTCTTTTGTTAAGTCATTATGTTATTATGTCTGTTACTTCCTTTCAGATGGCTTAGTGTTGAATTGTGTCTGTTGTTGTAATGCATCTTAAATTCTGTTTGTTGTTGTAATCTCTTAAGACCATTGGTGTTATGTTAAGTGGTCCTTTTATTCGAATTTTTGTTTAATGAATGTTCTACTTTTATGTCCTATTCTGATTTTTCTTATTTATTTTAATTGCTCACTCATTAACCTTATAATCATTAATCTAATACTATTCTCACAAATCAATTTTTTATTAATAATCAATACAGTATCTAAAATCCTATAGCACATCAACTTTGATTAATAAAAACATGTAAGACTTAAAAGGAAAGAACATATTATGCTTATGTAAGTACTGATACAGTTCAAGATGTCATATTCAAACAAATAGAGAGAATAGATTTTTATTAAACATGGGCATTACACGTATTGTTTTTTTGTCTAAGAATTATTATTTATATAAGCCCTCATTTCTAGCATACAACATTAATTAAAATTCATGATTGATAATCACTTCCTCAAGGATGACTACTATTTAAGAATTCCAAGTATATTACACAAATATATTTTTTTTTGGGTATGATTACACAAATAATTAACTATTGCCATTTTGAAAAAAAATTTTAAAGCTTAAATCAAAACAATGCGTTGTAAATACATTTTGAATTCTTAACAAAATAATTAATTTTTAATTACGTGATGGCTTCCATAACATGATTACTCTATACATCAAAGCATTATAAATATATGAAAAAGCTTTCACTATCATGCTTAGTGGATGAAAATAATCAAAATAAAGTTCAATTTTTTATGCATAACTCTTAATAGTGTTTTCACATGGTGCCAAAAAACATAACATGACAACTTGGGAAGTCGTATAAAAAAACAAAACACATACGGAAATCTGTCATGTCATTTTCACCATGGCTAGCTTGCATCGTAATAATTGAAAGACAAATAGCATTTTTGCAAAAGTATCTGTACTAAGGTTGACATAACGTCATTGCCTTTCAAGAGTTCATAAATTCTTATTTGTCAATTTAAAGGGTTACTTTGAGAAGTAGATTCATCATTCTTTATGGCCATACGTTCAAGGTTCTGTCTTGCCAAAACTCAAAGGCGAGGTATCACTCTCAAGTACAACGTGAATGGATCAACATGATAGTAATATTCAACAATCATCAAATTCCAATAGAATTTAGATAACTTGCTAGCGTTTAGAGGAAAGGTTTCAACAATTATCAGCATCAACCAATATGCAGCCTTCTTTTCATGGATAGGTTAGTTAATTTATTTCATTTCTTCATATGCACTATCCTAGCTTACTCTTAGTAATCCTTTCTAAGTGCTTTGAGTTGTGTTTGACTTTCAAAGTGTCATCTTAATGCTCATTCATGTTTTTAAGCTGTCAAGATTCATCATACTTATGTGAGGCGGCCAACCAATATGAATTTGATGCAGCAATCTTCCGAAGGAACAACATTGCTTGACAATACGATCACACTATGCATAACCCAAGACAGAAGCACATGGACAACAAACAAGTGCATGCCTTTTACGACATCAACAAGTGAAAGTAATATAGTTCACACTCAAGCTCTTGCAACAATAGATGGGGAGTCAACTCATATTTTCAAGAATCAAAAGCTAGAAGGACTTTACATGACATCACAAATATGGCAACTAATCTTACAAACTAGTTCTCAGATGTTTGAACCTCAGGTAGCACTAACTTTAACTTATTATTGATATATTTGAAACATGGATACTGCCATATATATATATATATATATATAAATATATCTTTATCTATCAAACAGCCTCTCAGCCAAAGGATATTTTTAAGCGTAGAAGTAGTTGATTACGTGTAATTGAGAACATGAATAAAGAAATAGTGCCAAATAAACAACCCAAAAAGAGAGGGCAACCTTCTAAAAAGGATGCAGTTAATTATGCTTCCAAACAACAATATAATTCTTGGTCTACAGGTATAGTGCACTACACTAAAGAGAGATTTAATTTCTCAATTAATGTATATAATATGTTAGTGATTCAAGGTATGGATTTCAGATACGAAATTGGCATCTTCAAGCAATACCACTATTGCTATGCACAATCAAATTTATTCACATTCAACAGGTATTTTTGTTATCAGTTAAAATCATTATTGTATATTGTTTTATCTCAAACATTGTAATCCTATTATCATGCAGGTTTGGAAATTTATTATAAGGATATACAGTTCTCCTTTGATTTTAATGAAAATGATGATTGTGAGTGTTCTGACATATATTCAGCAAATAGTACAGGTAGGTTATTTCAAGATAAGCCTTTCATTTCTTTACATAATGAATATCTTTTTGAAGTATATTTATAATAGATGAAGGTGATGATATTTCTAATCAAGGGATGGAGAATTCTAGCACCTTCAGCATTAGAAATGGTAAAATGATAAGTATTTACACATTTTCTTTATGTTATTATTAGTTAGTCTATTTGAAGATAAATTGTTATCGTAATGTGTCTCTGAATTTACTAAGATGGGTTATATAAGCTATTTAGAATTGATTTAATTTTCAAACTTAAATAATCCATAATTGCCGTCTTAAAAGCATTGACATTAGGATGACTTAAATGCTGTCATAAGATTATACATTATGGGTTATTACAATTTATCGCATAATCCTATTAAAGTAGTTTATATATATTTGCATTTTTTTCTTATCATATTTGCAGACTACATGGATGAAGGAGATCCTATAGAAATATGTAATTTTTGTGGAGCTGAACTTTGGTTCGATGAAAGAGTTGAGAAAGACACCTTTAGAAGGAATTTAACATTCTCCATTTGTTGTCTCAAAGGAAAGGTAGTCTTACCAGCTATGCATCCACCTCCCATGGAATTGCAATGTCTATTTTTTGACAAAAGCTCAAATGATTCAAAAAACTTTCATGCAAATATTAGGAAATATAACAATATGTTTTCATGTACTTCTATGGGAGGTGGAATTAACCATTCAATTAATAATGGTGGTGGACCATATTCTTTTGTGTTGTTAGGAATTAATTACCATATGATTAGAAGTTTATTGCCACCCGAAGGAGCGAAGCTTGTATTCTGTCAACTATACGTATATGATACAAAAAATGAAGTCAGAAATTGAATATCTGCTGTGAGGTAAATCTAATTTTTTTATTCTAACATGAAATATTTGATTTAAATTTATATTGACATATTTTCTCTTTTCTAAATGTAGCAAACATCAGAAAGGTCTAAATATTGATCCTACAATCGTTGAACAAATTAAAGATGTCTTAGATAGGATCAATTCATTTGTAAAGCAGTATCGAATGGCATCATCATTAATAAAGAATCATGTATATCAAGATTTTAAGTTGTGCTTGATTAACGCAAGGGAACATGATGGTCATACTTATAATCTTTTGTCAGCTTCAGAAGTTATAACATTAGTCATAGGTGACATTGATGTGTCATTCAATAGAAGGGATACTATAGTAGAAGAAATATCAGGAACTCCACAACGTATAAATGAATTGATGTTTCCTATTTACCTCTTCAATATCTAATCTTATCTCCATTTAGAGAAGATGGGTATAGAGATGATGTAGATCATCGTGAGGAAACTATTAGTTCAACAAAGAAGAAGAAAAAGGTTACTATGAGGGAGTATTTTTCATTTAGACTTATGACATGAGGACATGAAATCTCGACATTGCTCTATACACGTAGATTGTTGCAACAATTTATAGTTGATGGATATATAATGATTGAATCTCAAAGATTACTCTGGGTAAGGACCCATCAAAAAGAGTTAAGGGTTGAACTATATCAAGGGTTGTCAGATACACTTACTAGCAGAGAACGAAATGCAAACTCAACTAGGAAGAGAATTATTTTGCCATCATCTTTCACAGGTGGTGCAAGATATGATTCAAAATTATCAAGATGCCATGGCAATTTTTCGATGGGCAGGATATTCAGATATTTTTCTTACTTTCACATGTAATGCAACATGGCCAGAGATCACTAGATTTTGTCATAAAAATCTATTATCTCCTTTAGATCGACCAGATATACTATACAGGGTCTTCAAAATGAAGTTACAATCATTGATAAAAACAATCAAGGAATCAAAGCTTTTTGGCACCATTCGTGCAGGTTAGAACATTCAAAATTAAATTATTTCCTTTTTATGACGACACTGATATATATTTATTTTAAGAGAAAATATATTCATAGATCCCTATAGTTTCATCGCGTTTTGCTTTTAGTCCATATAATTTTTTTTAGTGTTTTTAGCCCTTATATTTTTATAAAGATTAGGTGACGTTTGTTTATTAAGTCCCTATAGTTTTAGTTTTTTTGAGTATTTTTAGTCTTTGTAAGGACTAAAAATACTGAAAAGACTACAGGGATTAAAATAAAATGTGATTAAACCATAGTGACCAAAGATTATGTTTTCCCTTATTTTAATCTTCTATAGTTTAAATATAATTAATTGTCAATTCAAAAGTATATACTTACATAATTGTATTTGATATTTCTAATAATACATTATTATCCCTAATATGATGTGTTTAATCATTTCAGAAGTATATACTATTGAGTTTCAAAAGAGAGGTCTTTCACATGCACATATACTTTTATTCCTTGATCAGCATGATAAAATAAAAGATCCAGAGCATATAGATAAGTTAATTTCTGCTGAGATTCCTAACAAGGAGTCTTCTCCATTTCTAAATGATCTAGTTAGGAGATTTATGATTCATGGTCCTTGTGGTCACAATAACCCAAAATCTCTATGCATGAAAGACAAGAAATACAGTAAATACTTTCCAAAGAAATTCAATGATAGCACACTCATTGATGCAGATGGATATCCTTCATATCGAAGAAGGGATGATGGAAGAACTATTGAAGTAAAAGGTATTCCTCTAGATAATGGATATGTTGTCCCCTACAACCCAACCCTATTATCCAAGTTTGAAGCACATATCAATGTTGAAAAATGCAATCATTCTACTTCAATTAAGTATTTGTTCAAGTACATTAGTAAAGGAAATGATAGGATAGTTGCTACAATTTATGATAACAATGATGAGATTCAACAGTACTACAATTGTAGATATATATTTACATGTGAAGGTTCATGACACATATTTAGGTTTGACATCCATCATAAGTATCCCTCTGTGGAAAGGTTGAGTTTCCATCTTCCCAATCAACAACCAATAATTTATTGTAATATTAATGACCTTGGTTATTTGTTAGACAAACCAAGAGTTTGTGAGTCTTAATTTCTTAGTTGGATGGTAATGAATAAAGTTGAAAATCATGCAAAAAATTTGACATATTCTGAATTTCCACAACATTATGTTTATGAAAGACAGAATAGAAGGTGGAAACGTAGGAAGAAAGGTTTTGCCGTTGGTAGGATCACCCATGTATCACCGTCATCTGGAGAACTATATTTTCTTAAAATACTTTTGACAAAGGTTAAAGGTCCCACCTCTTTTGATGATATAAAAACTGTGGATGGTGTGATACATTCAACTTTCAAAGAGGCATGCTTTACACTTAGATTATTGGATGATGACAGAGAATACATAAATGCAATCAAAGAAGCTGTAATTTGGGCTTCAGAAAATTTGCTTCGAAAGATGTTTGTAAGTATGTTACTTTGTTGCTGTTTGAGTCGTCCAAACTTTGTTTGGAAGAATACTTCAACATTTCTTTCTAAAAATTTATTATATATTCCACGTGGTGATCCAAATTTAGCAAGTATTATATAATCAATCTCTATTAGATGTTTCATCCATTAATCACAACTTACATATTCTCTTTGCATTACATCATAAAGTATTTATATTAGACATTTCAATAATATTTAAATCCATTTATTAAGATGTTTTCACAAAGATTTATATGTATTATGTAGGCCTTCATATCTTAATGGATGATAAGGAATAAGCTGCACTTCATGAAAGTGATTCATTATTGCAAGGGAATGGGAAGACACTAAAAGATTACAGTTTAATGCCATTACCTACAAAATCATTGAATATTGATGTGACAAATCATCTAATACTACAAGAATTGAATTACAATCACGAGGCAATGTAGTCGGAAGCTACACAGCTTATTAATTCAATGAACACAGATCAAAGACAAATCTTTGATTATGTAATCTCCTCATTGTCTTTATCAATTAGAGGTTTCTTCTTTGTATATGGATATGGAGGAACAGTGAAAAAATTTCTATGGAATGCATTATCATCTTTTATACATGCTAATGGGGATATTGTTTTAACAGTTGCTTCAAGTGGAATTGCTACAACTTTATTACCTTTTGGAAGAATAGCACATTTAAGGTTTACAATTCCTATCCAAATAACTAAATATTTTGTTTGTAGCATTAAACAAAACTCATCATTAGCATGCTTAATACAATACACTAAGTTGATAATATGAGATGAAGCTCTAATAGTTCAATGATATTGTGTTGAAGCTTTTGATAGAACTCTTAAGGATATAATGCATTGTAATCATTTATTTGGTAGAAAGTGTATTGTCATGGTTGGGGATTTCCGTCAAATACTACTAGTTATCCTAAAAGGAACAAGAGCAAGTATTGTTAATGCATGCATTAGTTTATCACCATTATGGGATCATTGCAAAATATTCAAACTCACAAAGAACATGAGGTTATCTTTATCTTCTTTAATATATGAAAGCCATGAATTGGAGAGATTCTTAAAGTGGTTATTAGACGTAGGTGATGGAACATTGGGACTACCTCATGATGGAATAGCAGAGATAGAAATCCCTCGTCATTTATTGATATCTAACTATAAGGACCCAATGAAAGTAATTGTATCATCCACTTATCTAGAACTACTTCACAATTTAGAAAACACTCAACATTTCAATGATAGAGCTATCTTAGCTCCTACTATTGAAAGTGTAGATTAGGTGAATAATTACATGTGTTCTTTACTTATTGGTGAATCAGTTGAGTATTTGAGTTCTGATTCAGTGTGCAAGTCCACTCAAGATAGTGATTCATTTGATGATCTATATACTAACGAATTCCTTAACATAATTACATGCTCTAGGTTGCCTCCACATAAGGTTATGTTGAAGGTAGGAGCACCTATAATGTTGTTGAGAAATATAGACCAAGCATCTGGACTATGGTACAAGATTACGTATAACTCAGCTTGGAAGAAGTGTTATTAAAGGCATAACATTGAATGGATCAAAGCAGAATGAAAAAGTATTGATTCATCGGATGGACATAAATCCTTCTGAGAGTAGATGGCCATTTCATCTACAACGAAGGCAATTCTCAATTACTCTTTCCTTTGCAATGACTATTAATAAAAGTCAAGGTCAATCACTACGTCATGTTGGATTGTATTTAACAAAGCCTATCTTCACACATGGTCAATTCTATGTTGCATTGTCAAGAGTTAAGAGTATGGAAGGGTTGAAGATCCTTTTGCATGATGGAAAAGGTGTTGAAAAAATCACAACCATAAATTTTGTCTATAGAGAGATATTTAAGAACTTGCAATGATCTTTTCACATGTAATGCACTTTAGATTTTGTATTAGTTAATTAATTGTCGTCCAATAATGAAATTTTGGGAAGTGTATTTTTCATACAAACTTTATTGAAATCTAAGGTGAGGAATTATGGTTAACATTATGTGTAAAGACACAAGTATTTCATTTATTAATCATAAACATATTAATTTAATTCTCCTCGTGCATCGCACTGGGTAGTAAAGGCTAGATGTTACAAAAAAAACAATGGCCTTATCATAGATGCAGAATTTGTAATGTGGTCCTTAAGTTTCTTTCATCTCATAACTTGTATTCCTTTATTCTTTTCTTTCAACTCATGTCTATTACAATAGAAGCCTCAACAATATCAAAACATATCAAAAGGAGAATGTATAGTGAGTTTAAATTTTTAAAAAAAGAGATATAATCTTTCTTATGCCTAATGTGATTTTAAGATTGATAGATAATCACACAACACTATTGATTGATTTTGCCGCATGGAATTCCTGTGGGCAACCTAGAAAGGAAAATTTAAGAAAAACTTACAAAGAATTCATTGTAATGTCCATATGGTATTACTAAATTATCACACTGAACTCGCATAAACACAATTAGAGGTGCCTCAAACCTCTTGTGTACTCAAAATTGTAATTATCCAAAAGTACTGAAAACAATTACTTTTAAATATTTAGGATCCTAAAAATTTCAAAAACTATTGAAAATCTATCAAAAGTAAGCATTTATGCTCAGCAAAAGCTAGCAAGCTGCATAAATACCATACAGTGTGAAAACCAAAGCAAAATAACACATTTCAGAAAAGTGGCCATATGCCATGGCATGTGGCACATACATCACAGCATGTGGTATAGAGCCAGAATTGCTCATTCTGTGTCATGTGCCACGACATGTACACCATGCATTATGCCGCAGCACACATATTAGATTTTGCTGTCAGTGATAGCTCACTAATATAAACTTACAATATGTGTCGTTTCTTTATATGGAGTGTGATTGGAGTGATTCAAGTGCCCACACAAAACTTATTTGACAAGTGAACTAATGATGCAATTTTGTTTCCATTAGATATTTCATTTGAATATGGGATACTCGGATGCAAAATGACAACTTTTTGTCATTTTCACCTAACCCCGAGTGTCCTAAATCCAACCCACGTGTTATTAGCCACTTTCACAGGCTTGATCATGTCCAATGGGATATATTTCACCTAACTAAGCATTCATATCAACAAAATCACATATATTCACAAGCTTGGCTACTAAATTGCCTTTTTCTCAAAACAGGAGAATTTCTTTCATAGTTTACATAATCACACTTATAGAGCTATTCACACATATTTCCACACATACTATATATTTGCCCTACTATCTTAGCCATCTATACCATATTCACCACATTTATACATACCAGGGCTAAGATACATATATCAACCACACAATATATTGAAACATGTTAATACAATTCTATAGCAACCTAGAACATAAAATATTTACAACATAGCAAATTCATTACATGAAACTCCAATAGCATGGTGGTAATCACTACTACGACTAGCTTAAATTTTTCCTCTTGCCCTATTCACTATGAAAACTTGTAAAAATGTAATCATGAGGTGAGATAATTATCTTAGTAATATAATGATTCACATGTATCAATTAATAAGAGCAACTGTAAACAAGTAAAATACATAAAGATATAAAAATATAACATAACTTTTCCATCAAATCATTTTCACACTTGCATAATCATTCTACCAGCCGATCTTCTATATCACCCTAACTGAAACTAAAGGCTTTACTAGATTAAAAACACATGTATTGATCTAGGCACTCCTTTAATGGTAGAATCACCTAGCCATAAGTGTTCTATCCAACTTTCAAACTATGGTTCCCCCTATCATGCACAAGATCAAGGTGTTGTTACTCCAACATCGCATCAAGCAGATGTTCAGAAGTGTAAATCTCTAAAACCATACTCATATAGGTACTCAAGAGAAGAATTCTCTAAGATCGTACCTCGTCGAGCACTTAAGAGAATATATGCCATGTAGTCTTTCACTACTTGTCCTTATAGCTGAACTCCTACCCTTAACATAATCATGTTCTCATTCTCATATACAAATCATACGTTTGTAATTCAAGCCATGTATATAAACATATATTTTTTATAAATCCAATTCTTTAAAATCATTTTCATAGTAACATACTTATAATTCAATAATTTCCATGCATGATATGCCCATTTTACAAACATGCAATAATTTCAAAACACATATACTATATTACATAATTACTTATAAACAGTTAAGCAAATTAATCAAACAATGTAAATTATTTGGCTACCTTAGCCCTTCTATCTCTAGAAAGGGTTACCCGTGGTTATCTCACAAGCAGTCAACTTTCACAATCCGAGTCCCCACATGCCACTATGTCAATCTACATAAAATTAGCATTATTAGTCAATTAACCCTATTTTCAAAGCTGTTCAAAGGTCAAATAACTTTATTAGTATCCCAAAAAAACACCATTAATTTATCAATCACATATTTTGACCAATTTATCCTTCTTAAATACCCAAAGTTCCAAGTAAAAAACTTAAAAATTTACAAAGGTCATGGTAAGACAATGTAGGATGTACCTAAAGGTACCAAACCCAGTAGTAAACTACCTATGATTTCTAAGGTCTCAATTGATTTAGCATGGAAGAAGTTTGCAAGATTCAACCTTTTGAGCTATGATAGTAGTATAAAGGCTAGAAAGCTGAGCGATAGATTGATCTACTAAAAACCATCTTTAAGGTGGTGACCTGCTTGCCTAAGAAGAAGGTAACCTTAGCCATAGTAATGCTTGTAGATGTGACGAAGCAATTGTGAAAGAGTACAGAGTCATCTGATGGATCCCAGCTAACATAGCATGAATTCAAGAAGTCTTTCAACTATTATTTCCCTACAATTTTCAGAGCAAAGAAAGAAGCTAAGTTTTATAAGTTGAAGAAAGGAAACAAGGATGAAGATGCTTTCATTGTGCAGTTTATTAAGCTCTAAAAGTATTCTACTTACTTGTCCTAGTTTGCAGATGATCAGTGGAAAGTTGAGCTACTTTTAGAAAAGGCTAGACCTAACTATTGCCGATACTTGGCACATCTAGGGAACATCTCCTTTGACGAGATGCTTGATAAACTAAGAAATATGTCTAGAAGAATCAGGGAGATTGAGGCAGCAAAGAGAAGGAACAATCAAGAAAGGTTCTCTCCTCACTTAAATATCACGGGAGGTATGAGTAAGAGGTTTAGGTTTAGCTTTAGGAGCTCGATCAATTTTGGGGACAAGAAGAGTAATTTCTAAAAGGGTAATCAAAGCAAGGGCTTTCAGAAGAATAGTGCTTCTAAGGGAGGTGGTGGGAGCCAATAGATGTCTATATATGACTTTACTTCTCCTGTGCCCACCAGTTCTGCAACAAGATGTCTAACTTTTCCAAAATGTAGGAAGAATCATTCAAGAAAATGTTAGGTATATTTTAGATGCCAGAAGTTGGGCCATCTAGCTAAGGACTATCTAGAGAATGTTGATCAAAGGTTTGCCATTCCAGGCTAGGTATTTGCTATGACCAAAGAGGAGGCAAAGGCATCTCTAAAGCTCATTTGAACTATCATTTCTCTCTAGATGCCTTATTTGATTCTAGTATCACTAATTCCTCTGTATCTAATGGTTGTATTGAAATATTAAAACTGCATGTGCATGACTTACCTATTGTTATGGATATGTCTATACCAGCTAATGCTTCTATTAGAACTAGCGATGCTTGCTTGAAAATTGAGTTGGAATTTGATAGTCAGGTGATTACCATTGATTTGATTTGTTTACCTATGTTAGGTATTGATGTTATTGTGGGTATAGGTTAGCTGTCAGCTAATGGTGCCACCTTAAATTGTAACAAAAAGATTTTATGTTTGCCTATATGTATTGCACCTACACATGTATCTACATCTACATCTGTGTTTTATAGTTGTTGATGATGAACCTAGATTCTTATCTATAGTACAAGTAGAGAAATGTGTGAGTCAGGGATGCCAAGCCTATATGGTATTCTTCTCTGTGAAGGTAGAGATAGATGGTAGTGTTGAGGATATGTACTAAATGAATTTCCTAATGTTTTTCCTAATGAGGTGATAGGATTACCACCAGAGAAGGAAGTTGAGTTTTTGATTGACTTGGTATTGGGAATCGAGCCAATCTTTTCTTCAATTCTCGAAATGCCTCTTTGTACTTCACATCCCAAACAAATGATTGATCTTTCTTGGTAAGCTTAGTCAACATAGATGTGATTGTATGGTTTAGTATAAAAGGTAAGATGTGTGAACTATAGTATTACAAATGTTTTGAATTAAGTAAATGCGACATGGTATTGGAATTATTTATGGCTATAATATTGATTAATGTATGATTTAGTAAGTAAATACTAATAAGGGGCTTTAACATTTAAGATAGCCTCTAATAAGGTAAAACTTATATGCAAGTTAATAATCTTCTTTGTCAAATTGTAATGATATCAAGAAAAGAATGTTTATATCTATATTGATTCTTTGAAAAAAATTTATATGTGAGATCGAGAATCATGTGATGATATGATGAACTTGTGGCTTGATGCCATGAAATGGAAATTATATAAGGATGATTGTTTTGTTATGGCATATTGAATGCTAATGTTTGTTTAAGCATATTGATACAATGTATGGCATGCTATTTGAATTAGCATGATGCATTGCATAATCATATTGCCATGAGTTCATTCTAGGGAGAGGAGTAGGTAAATCCATGTGTTATAATCGCCTATTAGTAACTAAAGGCTAACCTTTATCCCACTATTTACTAAGGGATTGTCCCACTATTTATCAAGGGATTTGAACCTGGCTTGTCTCCATTTGTTCCTCAAGAAGATTAGCTCAGGATTAATGACACCTTAAGGATTCAAAAAAGAGGAGAAATAATGATTCAAGAGCAAGTATAGTGAGTACAGTGTAGTGGTCTTCCTTTTATGTCTAATAATGTTCCAATTAGACTACACACATATTTTTTTCACATACATCACTTCAAGATTATGTCTCACCTCTCAAAGGTACTTCA